TTTCAGGGAGTTTGGAAAAGTCCCAGAAAGAAGTGAGGCGTTCACCACTTCTAAGAGATCTGCTTCCAAACAGTTAAGCACCCTTTTGAAAAAATATGTGGGAAGTGTGTCAAGATAGCATGTTGACGATTTAAGGTGCTGTACTATTTCTTCCAAAATTTTGCTATCAATCTCTTCAAAAGCAGTCATAGTATCTTCTTTTAGATATTGCGGTCGAATCTGTCTGACCTCTGCATAACTTGGGGATGTGCTAATTGCCTTCCTGATATTATTGATCTTCTCAGAAAAGAGGGAAGCAAACTCATTGCATTTGCTGTCGGAGAGCATTTCACTGGCAATCTGACTTGGGGGGTTTGTCAGTCTCTCAACAGTAGCAAAAAGAGTGCGAGTGTTGTTTAAGTTACTGTTTATAAGGTTTGAGAAGAATGACTGTCTAGCTTTGCCTAGTTCCACATTGAAAGCACGAAGGCTGTCTTTATATATGCTATAGTGAATTTCAAGTTTCGTCTTCCGCCACATCCGCTCAGATTTTCTGCATTGACTTTTCATACTCTGAACTGCAGTTGATTTTCTCCAAGCTGATTTCTGTCTGCCAGTTTTCTTGCTGACTTTCACAGGAGCAATGTTATCAATAACATTCTTAACTTTTGAGTTAAAGGAATCAAGGAGATCAACAGAGTCCGCAGAAATGCTTGGTGTTAAAGATATAGCCTCCATAAATAGCACACTTGTGTTTTTGTTAATGCATCTCTTTCTGACAGAGACAGATCTAGATTCAGTGGTAACAGAGATCAATATATCAAAGAAAATACAGAAGTGATCAGATAGTGCTATGTCCTTAATAACAATAGATGAAATGTTTAGTCCTCTACTGATGATTAAATCTACAGTATGTCCATGCACATGCTGAATCAGGTCAAAAGTGTTTAAAACAGTTATAATTTCTTTTGTAGTTTTGTTTTCTGCATTATCTATGTGAATATTAAAATTCCCTGCAATAGCAAAACAGTCAAACTCTGAGGAAATCATTGATTGCATTTCTGTGAACTCTTTAACAAAGGCTGGATAGTATTTTGGAGGCCTGTAAATAATGATAAACAGAATGCGTGGAGCACCTTTCAACACAATCCCTAGATATTCAAAAGACAAGTACTGATCAAATGACACTTGATTGCATTGATAGACATCTTTAAATAGAGCAGCTACACCTCCACCTCTCCTAACAGTCCTGCAAACACTCATGAAAGTAAAGTTAGTAGGGGCTGTTTCATTGAGGACCGTTGCACTGCAGCTGTCTTCTAGCCATGTTTC